AAAAAATCAAGTAAATAAAATAAATCAAATATAAAAATTATCCAGGTCATTATGATTTGTCATTTGTATATCCCTTTCAATTATTAAAACATCAGCTGGTTTCTTTTGTATGTCCAATGTAGTATCTTTTTTATATAATTCTTGTTGCCTGACATTTTAAATTTTACTTTCAAATCAGTTTCAATCTTGTCAGAATCAAATTTAAATGTTTTTCTCTTTTAATTATAATCTTTGCTTCCTTCTAGTCTAATTTTTAAAATCTTATTTTTTATGGATGTTTTTAAAGAATTAAAAAAGAGCGATTTTCTAATGGGAAAGGCTCCTTACAATCAATATCAAAATCTTATTTCAAGACAAGATTGAATTATCTTATCTGGACCCTTAACCCATTTGTAACTTTCTAAAACCAAAATTTTAATCATCCTTTTGTTGTTTATTCCAAACAATTTTTTAAAAACTTGTATTTAAAACTTCTTTCACTAAGGGTTAAAGGAAACCCATCTGGTGCTGTAAAACTTGTCAATCCAAAAGTTCCTAATAGCCCAAAGGCAATTAATAAATAATTTCTGAAAATGTTTAGAAAAGGAAGCATACAAGCCCCAGTGTCCTTTCAAAGGTGCCAACCAGAGTTTGAGTAAAATGGCCATTCCCTCATCTCCCAGAGCTCGAAACCTGCCAGAGATTTCTTTCTCACAGTCTCCTTGGGAGGAACAACAGTCTGCAGCACTTGTGAATGACCTTATATCTTCCCCTTGTCTGGAGATGAATTATCAAAGAGCGAGTCTATTCGCCAGCTCTTCATTTCACTTCAGTCATCAGCTTTGCTTTTTGCGGAACTGTCTTCAGTCCGCCATTTCTTCTTTGGTAGCCTTGTACCTATAGTCTACACAGTAAGGCATTTAATTGGGTTGACCATAGCCACCTTTTTGATAAAATTGAACAATACGAGGTGGTCTTTTTCATTTGGAACTGCCAATGCAAACATGACTGACATTTTGCTCACCTGGCATCAAGACTACTAAGCATAGTACCTCAAAGTTTGTATTATTGTTGTAAGGATGCTTGGACTCGCGCACTTGGACTGCCATCCCAGGCTCCTCCATGAACTGACAGGCTGTAAGTGCCATCTTTGCTAGCATGGTTCCACTGCATCCACGGAGCACTTTCAGTAGAATCTGTAGGATAGATCAAGATGAGGGAATGACCACACAAAAATGATTCACAAAATAAATGTTGTTCCAAGTTAAGTTTGGTATCAATAAAAAATACAGGTGGGTGTGATGAGTAATGAAACAAGAAAGGTAGAGAAGAAACAAAGAGACACTGGATAGCCTTCGTCTGCTTTTGCCCGAGACCCTGAGGTCTAAAAGTGAGAAAAGTACTTACTATACAACTATTCACTATTTCTCCTTCGGAATGGATTCACAGATTTAAGTATGAACAAAATTAATTAGAGATCATTCTTAACAAGATTAGGAAGCAATTTCAAACTTTTTTTTCCAATTTAAAGAAGAAAACTAGGAGGAAGGAGATGGTTTCTAAGTAGAAGCCAAAATTTAGAGCACATGGATAAGAACACCTTGTAACCACATTTCTACAGGTCAAAACTGATCATCTAAAGGATTTTTTTTTTGTTAGTATTAATGGACCGCTCCAGTAACATCAGTTATGGTCAAAACAGGAAGCATGCATTCTCCCTGAAAAAATAAGGCAGTTATTGTCCACCTAGCCCAATTCCTTTTACAGTGACTAACAGTTATCCAAATACTCAGGCATTCCAGGATCGCTTTATTTGAGATTGAACTATGATTTTCTACATGATAAATAAGTGCTTTACAATTTCTTACAGACATTCTACATCTGAATCTCTTCTGTCATGAATTTTATGCAATCTTCATGGATAATTTGATTATGCAGCTGAAACAGTCAGGTAACAAGGAAAGGGTGGGAAATGGAACAAGGAAAATGGAAATATTCTGTTTCTCTTTTTTCCTCTTGAAATTCAACTTGAATAGAAGACTAAAATATTGTCTTCTAGTGTATTAAAGACAAAATTGGCCCAAACAAAACAAGTGAGTTGCATTTGTTGCTTGGGACTGATTTATGTTCTGATTTATCTGCTAGTGTCAAGCTACTTTTCCCAGTTCACTCCCAAATCAGAGGGATAAAACAAATAATTTACCTTTTCACACAGCTGTTTTTCCTCTAGCTGCAACAGCATGTCCAGGATATATGTCATGTGTGCTGGGCCACTGAGATCTAACATCTCCTCACTTATTGCTACGTCGTCAGGCCACTCAGCCAATAACAAAGCGAGGACATGCCTGGCATACAGGACAGCAGTAGCTTCATTGACTCGGTAGAGATAACCCCGCACGGTTTTCTTGCTTTTGGAGTCCAACTCTTTATGCAGGAGGACAGAGCTTTTGGTGCGTCGTTGTTTGGCGTAGCTGAGTTGGAGGTCACTTTCTGTGTTGGTGATGAGCTTCTGGGTCACTGGGTTGGATTCATCAGTGGCTTTGTTGCAGGGAACAGGCTTGGACTGTAACATAAAAGGACTCTCAGTAGATGTGAAATTATCTCATTTCAAAATCTATCCTGCTTTTGGATGCTGCCCATGTACTGTGTGATTTTTTTTTATATAAGAGTCAGTAATAAAAACTGTAATGGGTCTTTATGATTAAGTGGAGACTGGAACTGAAGTCTTGCTTGTCCACATCTAAAATCCTGAATGGTATACCATGCTGAATCAGCTAATCACCTACCCCTAAATGACTGGACATATATTGAAGACTGCTTGTAAAGCTCTCCAAACTGGACACTAGTGTTTAAAAACAGTACATTTTGAATGTAAGGGTTTGATATTGCAGATATATCATATTTTTTGTTGTGTGTTTCTTTAATATCCTCTAGATCAGGGGTGTCAAACCCGGTTTCATTAAGAGCTACATCAGGGTTGTGTTCTGCCCCCCCCCCCCCCGGGAGGGGGGCAGCTCAATGTCACTTGGGTGATCAAATGCCACTTTTGCTAGTAGTTTGTTTTGCTAGCACTCTGCCAGCGAAAATGGAACTCATGACCCTCCCAGGCTCCATTTTCGGCAGTGACAGCCTCCTACAGCCCTCTGCTAGCAAAAATGGAGCCCCAGAGGGTCCCGTGTGGCCCTCCCGAGCTCCTTTTCACTGGCAGAGGCGCCGTAGTTCTTCGTTGTCTCAAGGGCAGCCCTGCGGGCCAGATCTAAATACCCCGTGATGTGATCAACGGGCCTGGAATTTTGACACCCCTGCTGTAGATGTATTAAATTTTTGCTTCTCCAAATATCTCATAGCTATGCCAATGAATGACTCAAGAATGGCGATATTAGTTCGGTGTACATTGCAATCAACCAGCATTTCTCAATGCCCGTGTCCTTCCAGATGCTCAGACTAGAATTCTAATCAGTTCCAGCTAATATGGTTAATGATCACGTTTGATGGAAGTATTGGTAGATATTACTACATAAATAAAAAAATAAAGTAAAAAAAAATGCTTTGCATAAAACAGTATGCTCACCAAACATGGCACAATGATCATATCTGTATCCAGGGCTTTGGAATTCTGCTCTTCTGTGCGTAAACGCTTACTGGGTTGCCATTTTTGAGCCAATGTACGAATCCTTTCATCCATGGTAAGTACTTCCCCATCAAATCTTTTAACAATATGCACACAAATATTTTTACTGTCAGAATTTAAAGACAGTACCTTTGAGCTGAGCAAATTCTACATTTAAAACCCTTCCCTATGTTTCATCCCATCAAGCGCTACTTTATATTAGCAGTTATACGGTCATGTGGCTTTGTTTCTAGGTATCTTGTCCATGTTCCATGCAATAAAAATAATTTATATTTTACACTTTTAATTTGCAATATAAACATGTTTTCAGGGTAACTAATTTATCCTCTCTCTGTCTCTAGAAGGTCAAGAAAATTTGTGGATGTGTTGGGCTCTATCATAATTTATAGTAAGAATGAAAGGATAACAACTCTGAAATGGTTGTTTATCAAAAGATTATAGCATAAAGGTATCTTACAGAAGCCTATCTCTGGGGTTGTGCCATTTCAGCTTGTAGATGAGCAAAACCATGATGGCATGTTTCTTGCACAGTAAATAGTTCTCCTCACTAAAACCTGGCCAACAAGAAAGCGGTCCTTTGAAATTATTCTCTTGTCTTCCTCAAAATAATCAATAGCTCATTTAGAAATACAAGTAGTCGCCTGGCCCCATTGCACAATACCTGCAATTGTTAAAAATAAATTCTTGGCTATCTGCTGGTTTCCTTTTTAGGTATTTTTGATTAATAGATTAATTAAGTCACTATGGATAGATAAACTTTTCATTCCAAGTTGGCTTTGGAAATACTCTTACCTCTTCTGAACCTCTAGGAAGAAAGAATCTGTCCTTTTCATATGAAGTTCATACATGGCTCGAAGGATGTGTAGAGGTGCATCAAGAGCATCATGTGTCATCTGAAAAGAGGTTTAACTCTGATTAGGTGAGAAGAAGGAAAAGTATTTCCTAATATTAGACAATGTAGCTCAGGGTTGAATTCTTGGGTTCTTGGTTTTGGCTTGGCTGTTTTTTTTAATCTGCAAATATTTTTTACCAGATGTTTCATTGCCAGTGAACACCAAAAATCCAACTGTTTTTTTCTATGCCTCTAAAAACAATTGTGGAAGTATTGCAATGGCAGAGTCAACATTTGAATGCGAAATACTACGTTAGGCTTCCACAATATACAAATACCCCCCCCCCCCGCACGACTAATACTGGTTGGATAGATAAGATCTGCTGTAAAAGATGGAGGTGTCAATGCAATTTCTGTCAATTCATTGCATTTACTTTCACAGAAAACAACAAAGTAAAAACACTAAAAACATCAGCCTAATATTACCTGAAATATATAGATCTGTTCAAGAAAAAGTTTTACATGGACTAGAGTCCACTTCAGAGGCTAACCATGTATCTGTTCAAAGTTGACTAGAGTCTATGAAACTGATAGTACACCTAATTTGTTGATCATTCAGGCATAACTGGGTCTTATTTTTGCCACTATAACATGCTAACAGGACTTTTTATCTGTATTTTGGGACAAACTGAAGTTGAACATTGAAGCAGAGATGGTGAAATGCAATATAACTTCAGGGACACACACTGTATGGCTGCACTCCTTGACTTTTATACCAGTTAGCCTTCTCCCTGAGTGAAACACTAATCTGAAATTTCTGCTTGTATTCTTAGGCCTGCCTTTTGTCTTGATGAGGACCAATCCCTTGTTGTCTCAAGAGAACTTCAAACAACATGCACAGTGCAACACAAGCTGACATGCTGTGCTTTTGAGAAAGCACTGTTCCCACCCTGTCCACTGCACAATAAAGAAAAAACAGTACCAGGAAGCATATTTTGGTGGTTTCATCCAAGCCCTCCAGTGGGTCAAGCCTATTCTGCTCAGGATCAGAAGTATCAACAGACTCATTTACTGCTTGCTCATGATCTCGCTCATTGAACTCTATGTCCTTCTGCTCAGCTATCGAGTTTAACTCCTTTTTTGAAGAATAAAGCATGACTGACAAGATCTGCAAGGACAAAGACAAGGTACAATTTAAGTTACAAGACAAATTACAGACCAGATTTGCTTCTCTTCTGTAAGGCTGCTTCCTCTTTAGCCTTTAGCTATACTCTCAGATTTTAGTAGTTGATCAATAAAGCATGAACATAATCAATAATAATATATTGTTAAACGATGAAGTGAACATTCATTTATTGAAATGCCACGGAACTCTTATTCTCAAAAAGGCTGTCACAATCTATAACAGACTCACAATGCCTCCAGTCCCCCCCTCCCTCTATCAATTTGCATTCTGATTAGGTTTGCTGTGTGTATATCATTCCAGTCTGGAGCAAAAAGGCTAGTGACACATCCATTTAATATTCCTTAGTTGAAGCATAATTAGAATAATTAAAATTATGAAGAACACAAAACTGCAAGAATGAGAAGGAACTGCTGGATGTACAGAATAATTCAAATAACAGTACTGTTCATAGGGAAGAACTTGCCCAGCTGCTTAAATGCATTGTTATGTTACCTCCAAGTCTCTCAGAAGCCAAGTCTTACTGAAGCCTGTCCCTTTGCTACACTTCTTCACCAACAGCTTAAGCAAACCAGATTGCAGAAAGGCTGTGCGTATTTCTTCAAAAGCATGTGTCTGTTGATCACAAGAAAAAATGGTAACCATTAACACTTTGACTAAGAATGATAGCTTATCAGGTTTTCTCAATCTCAACAATGTTAACATGTGTGGACATCAACTGTTGAGTTCACACATTTTAACAATGTTGAGGTTGAGACATGCTGGCCCATATGGACGGATTTTTTCCAGGATTTTTTGTTAAAGGATTTCTTACATGAGAAAGGCACTGAACATATGAAGATCACATTTTCATCTATAGTTTGCAGAACTAGATATAGACCACTGTTCCTTCCCAAAGAAAAAAATAATGTGGTATATTGTAATCTGATCAAGAAAACATAATCTTGGATTGCAGTGCTTGTGTATTAAATTATAAAGATTGAAAATAACTTTTTAGAAGGGTGAAGGGATTTTGGCTGCTGGCTTTTGTCTTAACTGTAACTTTTAGATAATAGAATTATCAACAGTCTTAAGCTGTATTCTTAGTGGACCTTCTTATTCCTTTAGGTTCTTTCTTCTGTTATTTTAAAGAACCTAAAATGGTTGGTTCAAAGTCAAAGCTAGACAGCCATTTTTAATTAACGTTTCAATCTGGATTCCAGGGCAGAGGCCTAAATGGCCTCTTAGACTCTGAAGCTAAACCTCAAATACTATGGCCACCAAATGAGATGTCTCATTTGAAAAGATCCTGATGTTGGTAAAAATTGAAGGCAAAAGGAGAAGGGAACAGCAAAGAATGAGATAGTATCACTGACGCAATGGACATGGGTTTAGGACATCTCTGGCAGACAGTGGAGGACAAGGGGCCTGGCACACTGTGGTCCATGGGATCATGAAGAGTTGGGCACGATTTAGCAATTGAAATGTCTTCTTCCAGTTCTGTGATTCTATGTTTCTTTATCAGAAACCAGCAGTGCTCTTTCTTCTATGCTCCCCACCCCACACGCAATGATTTATATAATTCTGGGTTATAAGATGCCTCAGGAATCTTTGTCCATTTTTGTACCTTAAGTGTTCTGTAAAGTCCCTTCAGAGCAAGAGATAAAACCCACGTTGCTTCCACTGCCTCTGCAAAGCTACTGTCAATGCTGGTCTGGAGAAGATGGCTAGTTATAAACACAAAATGTTGGAGATACTGGCGGAGCTGGCCCTGAGACTCAGCATCATCTTGCTCACATGGCTTAATCAGCTGGAGATCTTTTACTAGAACAGAAATAGATGAATACACAGGTTTCAGTTGGTAGCTGTCCTGGGTTCAGCTCTGTTTACTTAAGTCTTGCAATGTGAAAAAAATACAAACTCTTTAAAAAAAAAATCAGATCCACCTCAAAAGTAAACTCTTTAAAGAATTGTTTTTTTACATACACAGAAAGATGATGTAAGCAGAATGTAGATTAAAAATAGGCTTGTAGTAAATAATTTTGTCATATGATACGCATTCAGCCACTTCTAATATTTTATTTCAATATAGACAGCCTTTACTTACTGCCTTGTTCAGTGACCATTCAAAGTTACAATGGTGCCGAAAAATAATTTTACAACCAATGTCCACATGTACAACCTTCACAACATCCTTCAGTTACGTGATCACCATTACAGTTAGTGCGTATTGTCCTGTTGTTTTTCTCTCCACACATTTGCGGAGCAGAGTTTGGAGAGGAAGGGATTTCAAGAGAATAAGAAAGCACACAATGGACATAG